AAACGACCAGTTAAAATGTTTCACTTGTGGTAGAAACAAACTAAACTTGGAAAAGGATAATAAGCAATGTGGTCTCTTATAAGCATATAAGAAAGGAAAGAAAGGAGAAAAAGAGAGTTGAAGAAATCCAGGTCACCACCCAAGAATCCAGCATTGTCTCAGATCTGCTATCTTGGGTGGTGGGTAGACACACAGCAAAGTTTTCTGTCATCTTTTGAGTTCATCTTATCAGCTGATTAGCATACAAGACGAGAAGACACAGGTATTCCATGAACTCACTTCCATAAGTAAGCACTGAGGAGGAGTGGGGCACACCAACCCCCTCGTCCAATTGAGTCAGTGGTCATGCTTGCCCAGCCCACCTTTATGTCTTTCCTCAGTTCCCACAGACTTTTTGCTAACTTCACACTTCTTGATCATCCAGCTTCTGAGGCAGAAATGCTCACCTCTTATCAGGCCTTATCACCTCTTCAGTAGTAAAACCTGCATGGTGTCAGGCTTACACAAGGGAGCCTGTGATTAGCGGTCCTTGTGCTTGATGAGAGACATTTGATTTCTCAGTCCACATTTCCCCACTTTGACCTTTATCTAAGGAGTTTGTCAATACCACCATAAGGAACGGGGACATGCATCCTTTGATACACTAATCACAAAGATCACAGCTTGTCCTTGAGGTTTTCTGTGTTGATGAATGTTTGAGGCATTTACTTCCTTCAGTTCCTTACAACCTGTCCAAGCAAGTCCAGAGGAGGCCACGGAGATGATGAGGGGGCTGGAGCACCTCCCCTGTGAGGACAGGCTGAGAGAGTTGGGGTTGTTCAGCCTGGAGAAGAGAAGGCTCCAGGGAGACCCGATAACGGCCTTTCAGTACTTAAAGGGGGCTACAGGAAAGATGGGGATGCATCAGGGAGTGTAGGAATAGGATGAGGGGTAACAATTTTAAACTGAAAGAGGGCAGATTTAGATTAGATATAAGGAAGAAATTCTTCACTGTGAGGGTGGTGAAATGGTGGAACAAGTTGCCCAGAGAACCTGTGGCTGCCCCTCCCTGGCAGTGTTCAAGGCCAGGTTGGACGGGGCTTTGAGCAACCTGGGCTAGTGGAAGGTGTCCCTGCCCATGGCAGGGGGTTGGAACTAAGTGGTCTTTAAGGTCCCTTTCAACACAAATCATTCTATGATTCTAAGATGTACAGACATATAAAAAAAGCTGCTTCCACCATCAATTGATACTAAGATTGACACTAAAAGGAAAAATCTGAGATTATTTTTAAGGAAATATTTTTATAAATCTATACCACTATTTCAGTATAGTTTAAAAAAACTGTACAACATTAACCATCAGAAGGCCTAGCAGTATGGAATACCTCACCAACATTTTTTGGACTGCTTTTCCCATTTCAGATTTATTTACTTCTCTGGGGATTAAAAACAAAACAAACCAACCAATCCACCCTACTTTGCAAGCAGAAGTCCTTGGCTACCTTATAATAACAGAATAGAAAGATGAAATAATTTTTCCACCAGGATCAAGAAACACTGGGAATTGTGAGAGGAGGGCCATCCCGAAGAACAGAAGATTTCAAGTTAATACACCTATCAAAAGGAGATATGACTAGTGGTTACAAGAAACACTTTTGAAAACAATATAATGCATACCTTCTCGCAGAACCTAATTCTCTCACACAACATGAGCAAAAATTAGAAACAAAAATTGGAAATTATTGTATAGCATACTTCAGAGGTAATGGATGGAATACTTAACCCTGTTTCTGGGTAACTGACCAAACAGACTTTAATTTGAAGTCACTTCCAGTCCAACATTTTTTCTTTTTCTGACAGAGTGGTTGTAATAAGGAAAACCAAAGCTAGAAAAATCACACTTAAAGAAGTACTAGGTTTTAAACTTTGAAAAGCTCTATTTAAAAGTGGCTTAAATATCAGATATGAAATTGATGAATATTTGTTTTAATGAGCTCTCAAAGTCATTACAAAGACAATGAGTGCATGCAATTTTTGAGAAACAAAATGTAAAAAGTTTCAACAGCACTACTGTCAAGCTGAGAAGTTAATAGTTATTATGTCAGAAATGTTGACATCGTCAAAGTAAAATCAGAAAGCAACATATATCTGAACAAAGAATATCTGTTTGGAATATGCATGTTCCAAGCAACAGAGAAGAGGTAATAGTGAAAACTAAATTGAGATCCAGCACACAAAAATGACATGCATCACAATGAACTGCATGCACACAACCTGGCAGAAATGTCCTCAAAATCTGTGGTGGATTTTTGCCACCAAATGTAAAAGGAATTCACTGTAGTATACATATATTTTAAGATAATATTGTAAACCAATTTTTAGCATTTGTTGTATCTACTTCAATTAATTTTTTGTACAAGGCACATATTTTTCACCAAACCATTGCTTGATTAAAAAATGATAGTAACAAATGGAAAAAGTTCTCTAAGGAAATTATTTTTAATTTGATAAATATCACAGAAAAGTAATCTTACATATTTTAATAGTGTTAACAGCTTATTCCTTTCTAAATAAATCCAAAACAGCAATAAGAGGAGAAGTAGGACTAGTCTGCTCTTCCCAGACTGACACCAGACAAGAAGAGTAAGAAAGACTCTAGATGGCAAACCTGTAAGGATCAGAGAACTGACTAACTGAATGTAGCAAACTTGGTGGTCAAGATATTCAGAGATCTTACATTCATGAAAAGGAATCTATCTGGAAGTAAATTCTCTAAATCTACCTACTCACATCAGATGATGTATTTAAATAGAAGCAGAGTTTAGGAGCAATATTCCACATTACCCACAATGTAACTGAAAAGTCTTATTTGCAGCAACAATGGACAGTTTCTAAGGAGTGCATGCTTGACTGTTGTTCTTCCCCACACTGTTGTTGCATAAAGGTCTCAACTATAAAATACACAGGAGTGGGATCATGATCCCATGCCAAGTCAGCCAAAATCAATTCCATTACCAGCTTTGTGAATGACTTGTTCATCTCTACAATACTTACCTACTTCACCAGGTTGTTGTAGGAACTAATGATGGGCATGTTACTATTTAGGAGGCATCATAAGCTTCATCCATTCCTATAAAAATCTGTTCTACAGTAGCTTGACTAAGTTTCTCAGGACAACGATTATCTATCCTTTTTTATTTGTTTGTACAGTTCCCAGAACAATAGGGTCTTAATCCTTGACTTGGACAGCTAGGCACCATTGAAACATAAATAATCAGCAAACAATATGAGTTGAGAGGTTTAGCAGAGTGTTATCCTTCCCAGAGCTCCAAGGCATAGAACATTTAAATGACCAGAATTTAGCCAATGCAAAGGGAACTGGGGACAAGGAACCATAGACTTGGTTGCTTGCTAACAACTTTGGTGGCTTGTTCTTGAAAGAGCAGGCATACAAAAAAGACTGATGGAATGCATATGTGAGAAGAGAACACTATTCAGAGGAGCACAGGGACTGCAAATATAGTTGCCTTCTGAGCAAGACATTTAGGGCAAAAGCTTTTTATGTATTTGCCAGCTCTACTGTATCTGCAAACTAAGAGCAAACACAGTAGGAAAAAATAGGGTTTGGTTTTGTTGGGGGGTTTTGGGTGGTTTGTTTTTTTTTTTTAAGAAACAACACATAAACATGCAATTGGCCAAAAGAGATACACATCAAGAAAGAAACAGTTGTATAACCAACAGTAGCTGTTGTCTCTTGAGACGTGTTCTATGCACATATATGCTGCCTTTATCATGTGTATGCCCACTACATTCAAGTTAGAGTCTCACTTAGAACTATCAGCTGTGTGTTATATTCACCAAGAACATCCCCCTGCTTCCCATCAAAAGTAAAATGTTGGAGTTAGTCCAATCACTTGAGTAGCTCTTCATCTTGGACAGACCTTCATCTTCAGCATCTAAGAATGGCTTCAAGTGTCATGTATAAAGGGTATGACATGGAATTTGTGCCAACATTTTTAAGTAAAATGATTAGTGAACAATTAAGCAACTGTTTCTTCCTCATTGCCTGTCCTTGCATTTGTTCTGTTGTTGGTGATTTCTAAGCTATGCACTCTCTGAAGGTGGGTATCAGTAATTTGGGCTTGTTTACTCTAGAAATTAAAGGCTGATGGGAAGCATGACTGTCAGCATTACTGGAGAGAAAAATAATTCCTTCCAAATGACAGAAGAAATGCTCTGCTTCCAGTCAGTCTGGAAGATACCTAGAGGACAGGCAATTTCCACAAGGTGATGAATGAAAAGGAAGTAGAATGCTGAGACGAAAGCTTGGAGTGTTTCCAGTAAACTGTGAATGCAGGGTGGGGCAAAGAAAAGCAGTCTTCAAGAGCAATAAAGGCAAGGGAGTCAAGGTTTAATACACTACACACAATTTTTATTTTCTTAAATAAAAATGTTTAAGAAATATATTAGGAAAAAAAAAGGAAAATTACAACAGAGACTAAGTAAATATTATTTTCAGCCAGTAATCTAAGTACATACAATACACCTGCAACACGAAACAAATTGAACGCTTTTTACCTAGATGTATCAAGTTAGTATTATCAGAATGTTTCAGAACAGCCTGTATCCCATCCTGTTATTTTATGTCATTATTACACTGGACATCCAATACTCTGATACTCTCAGTCAACAATACATAATACATACCTAACTTTAAACACATTAACCCACTCATTTAAGTAATCTATTTAATGCGCAATAAAATTAAAGCACATCTGTCTTTCCAATAGGTTAGACCCCTCACCCCATCTTGTATTATGCAGTTTGATAATTGTAAAACTTAAATGGATTAGAATGATAAAGCATTCTCATCGAAAGACTACAGAGAAGTAATACACGCAGTTTGATGTGATCTGAAATAAATGCTGAATCTCTATTTTTGAAAGAAAATATAAAGGTGTTGAGGTTTTTTTTAACTAAAGTAAATGGAAAAAAGGTCTTGGAAAGTCTCAAAGTCTTACCTGTTGGTATGCTTCATAGATTATATCAAATAAGAAAGCCTGAGGCATTTCACTCGCTCTGTACCTGGCACGTTCCAATGAGTGGTCTAAACAGCCATCTGCAGCAGAGGCAATAACAGTAGAAACTAGAGGACGAATTGCTCCTGCAGCCTGTAGAACAAAACACAAAGAGAAACCTAAATGTTACTAATTAATGTATATCATATAGTTGCTGTCAAAAAAAAAATAAAAAGTGTGTTAAAATGCATTTTCTACTTATCTTTCATATATCTCTAAATGCATAAGTCATATTACTTAATCTGTATGAGACTTTTAACATTAATATAGCAACAGAAGATTTGTAGGAGTACACACTGAGGGCCAATTTACAAAAAAAATCTTAAATCCTTTACAAACATCTACTGCAAATACACGTACAGATCCAAGATGTTTGCTTTTTAGACTTTCTTCTACATACATATTAAATGGTTTCTGTGAGGACAGTTCTAGGCCTGTTCATATATCAAACAGCAGGAGACTGAAGTCTTGATAATCCACAACACCTATTGCTTTCACAGATTTCAATTTGGCTAAACTGCTCAGAAATAAGCAACAAGAAAAGTTCCAGAAAAGTGAGGTTGTTCCTCCATGTTGAATTCACGTTGTGAAATACTGAGCAACCACACTTACTGGTGGAATCACCATAAACACAGCATATACATCAGAAAGTATTTAATATCCAGCAGCACTGTGCCCCAGGACAGATACTTAAATATTTCAGTTTCGGTTTTGCTTGGATTTGAAACCAATTAAACGTGTATCTTTTATCTTTCCATCAATATATGGTATTATAATATACGGCATCTCCTAGCTGGTTTTAGTCATTTTGATACAAGAAAGTTACTCCCACTTCATCAGTCACTTATCAAATGTTCAAATGAAATTTATATGAAGATAAAGGCAACTGGAACAAGAGTTGTTCGTACAAAAATGAAGGGAAAGTTGCAATGGCAGAACATTGCTTACCAAGTCACAGGGCAAAAAGCATGTTCTACAACAATGCTAACTATGAATGGCATCCTTACCCTATACTGTTTAACTATTTTTAAAGAATAATGAAAAAGAATAACTGATGTTGTTTAAAAACAATTTGAATTATCCAGCATCTTAAATCAGTATACCTAGAAAACCACTCCCAGTGGTGAATTCTGACCCTTTTCACTGCAGCCACAGAAGATCTCCTGAGGTCTAGTGAGCTTTGACACAGAAAAAAAATGGGTCTCTCATCGCATAAAATGAGAGCACTGTTATTGTTTATTTTATTTATCTTCTGTTGGCAAATCCTACCCTCACACATACAAGCCCTGTCCATTCTTAAAAGATTTCTGATCTCAGATAAGCATACAGTGGCAGAATGAGATGCCAAAAGTGAGACCAAGGTTTCTTTTCCTCTTAGAAGAGAAAGAACTAGTTGTCTTCCCTCCCCCTTTTGCACTACTGAACAATAAAACAAAGAATGCAGTCAGCGTGTTGAGCTCTTTATGAACGCTAAAATACAGCTTCTTAGTTCATTCTTTTAAAGAATAAGGACAGAGATGTGAACCAATTTCTCATGCCCAAAGAGTTCTGATATGCATGAGATACTAGGGCAGGGAGAAGGAAAAGATTCATGTGACAAGAGAAGTATCTGAACCACTTTTTCAAAATCTGAAAAGCACTTTTTCTTTCTAATACATGGGAAGAGATATCTATATAAAACACTACATGGAGCAAAACACTATAATCCAAAGGCAAAACCTGCTACAGAAAGATAACCGAGAACTATGAAATTACAGAAGTATGTAAAGGATCTTGAGAGGTGATCTATCTAGTCCATCTTTCTGTCTGAGGCAGACACAATTTTACTTCTGTAATAGAAAAGACAAATTGACAAAACAAAACACTATAATCTTACTAATACATCAATGTATTAAATGAGGAGTAAATTTAACAGATATACTTTGAGGGAAAGCTGCGCATAAGGAGTAGAGACACTAAATTATCTGCAACTTGTCCCCTCTCTGTTTCCTATGATTCCATGATTATTACTTCTATATCCCGGCTGCTGGGCATTTGGACTATGCTGTTTTGTTCTGCCGTCATATTTTAATTGGTCACATACACACACAAAAAAACTATAAAATTAGAAGGTCATGGGAAGAGACAGAGCAGCATGCTAGCCACAGCTTTTCTGTAATTAGTTAAGTCTTTTTTTCTGAAACAGTTACCATTCCAGAAAGCCAGTTAGCAAAAGAGGATTTCTTAGGCTGATCCAATATTTTATTAGTTTTTAACAATCATGTCATGTTACATTTTGAGCATAAAACAGGCCAAGAGAGTACAATGTGACTTGCGTAACCAAATCTCACAAGTGAAACACGCACTGAGGAACCAAAAACCAAACTGCAATTCTAAATAAAATTGAAATACTCAAAATTATCTTCTCAAAAGAACTCCGAAACACATTGTTTTCTTGACATCTGGTTTATTGCACAATAAAAATTCATTAATGTCTGTATCTCTGTGACAATACTGAACCACATCTCGTGCTCTGCTGAGACTTTGGTCTTCCAGAAGATTCAGGAAGATCTGATTTCCAACAAATTCAAACATGGCATTTTTAAAAACCCCCAATTAACTTCTTAAATAATTGAAAACTTCATGGCACCTAAAATTTAACAAATGGCATTTTCCAAATGACAGTTTTGCTTTACATTGCCCCAGAACTGAGTCCAGAGTGGCAGGCTGAGAGTTTCTCACCTGTCTTCCCTCCATTTCAATGAGAAATCACCAGTTGGGCACAATAAGATGTCTTCCGCAGCAAGCCCACTCAAACTATACCTGACACTGACTGAAAACATGACATTTAATACAAAGAATAAGATTTATGGCTGACTTCTGATCATACAGGGGAGAGAAACTCTACATATGCAGTAACAGGATAACTAGCAGTCACTTGATTAAAAAAATAACAGTTTTTATTCCAAAAAAGGACAACTCTGACCATGACTACTCTATGCGTTAAAAACAGAATGCAGAGCTCTAGTACTTACTAAAGCCAGGAAGTTTCTACTGCATAGAAAACTTTCATATGATGAGCAGCTGGGGTACAAAAGCTGTGAATCCATAAACTAGAGCATACTTGCTGAGGTGCAGCACTGAGTTGAAAACTTAAAATCCTGAGACAAGATAAAATAACTCGTTGGTTGTTTTCCTCAGTACCGGCTCACCTTTCTGCAAGACCTTTCTCTGTCTCAGCACACACACATACCGGCTCCCTCAACCAGATGATGTGACTCAATACAGAGCTGTTTACCACCCCAGTGACACAAGACCTATATTAGTTCCTAAGGTCACTTTCACACTGGGTGAAACTGGGATCAAGCAAAGGAGAACACTGGCCTGTGTATGCCCTGCATTGTTTTCATATGGGACAAGGGAGCTGAGTCCCTAACACAGGAAACCTTGCATCTGCAGTATTTCTGGCAACATTCTCTAGCTGGCATATGGCAACACAGCTGCCAAACACAAGCTGGCTTACACAGACCTCACCACACTTGCTTCTGGTTCAAAAGCTGGCTCATGGGTATCTTCATTCATGGTGTAAACACAATACTTGGCATGTAAAAGCAGAAGAATTGAGCTGTGATTTTTGTTCTAATATACAGGCCAAAGAGGGGCACAGTTTAAGATGTACGGTTCATTTTGTGGCATTTCCTTTGGTTAGTGCAAGCATCCTCCCTATTCAGCACAAAGCCTTTTTCTAAATTCCACTCCAATCAGTCTCACAATTAACTGAATGGGGAATTTAGGTACTTGAGACAGGGCTTTAGACTACATTTTTTTTTAGTTCAGAAACTTAAAACATTAGGGCACAGTTGGACCAATAAAACAATAAAGGTACTACTGTATCTAAAGCCCCTGATGACTGCAGGCTGTAAAGCGAAGAACACCATCTTCCAGCTAGTCTACATATATTCAGTTACATCAAATATTTTATTTTTTGCAAGGAATTTCCATGTTGTTTTTCAGGTTATAAATCAGTAACAAAGATCTCTTTCTATATTAGTAAAGAGAGGATATACTGAGTCTCAGGTATATGAATTTGATTTGTTCTAATATGAGCAGCTTTGCCTTGCTATTTACGTCAGGAATGTATAGGTATTTGGTCCAGCTACCAGGCAAGTAGTTCAGACATGAATTTTTAAAAATAATGAATAAAACAAAGAAAATCTGTCCTCATTTAAAATTATAAGTACTTGTTAATGTCACTATAGTTTTACAGATCTTTTTTACACTTTGAATTAGCCTACCACAAAATACAAATCCTGTGAGTCTAAGCAAGTGCCTGGATCTTATACTAACATTTCCCTACCCAGAGTACTCATCTTCCAATTTCTAATCATTTTGACCCAGATCTCAAGTAGATTTGCTTTCAAAATTACACACAAAAAGCATAACACACTTTTCCTGAATGTGAAGTACATAGATGATGGATAGTTAAACTGAATTTCTTTAAATGTCCACTTTACAGCCTTCAAGCTATTCTACCTTAGAGACAGTCAAGCACTAGTTTCGGTGAACCTGGCACGTCCAGGAAACGCATAGATTTATTTCCTCCATTTTTGCACATTTTGATAAATATATCAGTTAAAGTATCAAAGTATCTGTGGGCAAGCTTTCAAAATATTCCTCCACAGCATAACAGACATTGAAACAAGTACTGCTAACTGGTTAGTTTTCTATTGCAGACAAAATACTAGAACAAAACCATAATTTTAATCTGTAATTTCCTTAAAACAATCCTAAAATGTCCTGAGAACACAGAATTCCATCAACTTCAGGGGAAGCGACAGATTGGTATCTCAGAAGCAAACTCATCCATCCATCTGCTGAAAACTGAACCAGCCCCTAGATGCTTTTAGAAACCACAAGTATCTTTTATAACCTATTTTAAATGGCACAAATAAAAAAATTTTACAAGCAGGTTCTCATTTTTGTATTCAGACTTTTCCATAACTACCTAGAGCACAACATACATTCAAGATTTAAAGATTTGATGGTGGCTGAAAAAAAAAGGTAGAGAATTAAGTACACCATGCAGGTGAGTATAATAAGGTATCCCAAATATT